AGTTATGTTTTAACCAGTTCAGTTCCCACAGGCTAAAAAAATATGTTAAACCTTCATACTTAACCATTTGTGTTTTGAACAAGTTCAGTTTAGTTCGTTTTGAACCTATTCAGTACGTTTTGAACCAGCTTTAGTTCCCAAAGGCTAAAAAATGAACAGTTCCCTTTTCATAGTTCACCATGTCAGGTTTGGATCAGTTTGGTTCCCACAGGTTTAAAAATGAACAGTTCCCCGTTCATAGTTCACGATGTCAGGTTTGAATCAGTTCATTTCAGTGGGGTTTGAACCAGTTTAGTTCGGACGTGACTCACCATTTTTCGGTACCGGGTCGCCGAATCCAGGTCGTCCATCAGAATCGTGTCTCCGAGGAGGTTTTTAAACACTGGGAAGGAAACACAAGAGTCAATTGTGATGCGGTGAAGCAGACTTAATGTCTAAACCAGTGTTTTTCAACCTTTTTTTGAGCCTAGGTACATTTTTTTATAGAAAAAATCCCAAGGCACACCACCAACCAAAAACGTTAAACAAATCTGTAGTGGCCTATAGTAACACTATAGTTATTCTTATCTTATCTTAAGTGTCTTGAATAGGAATCAAATAAACACAAAAATGTATTTTTATCGTATTTTATATTTCTTCTTTCAAATTGCTCTTAACATGTCCACTTCAATATACAAAATTATATACAAAATCTAGTCGTAAGGAATTATTACATGATCACGCCACCAGTCACTAGTACAGCACAGACACTCAAAAATGGAATATTATTTGCAGATAATTAATTCCTTTTCAAAAAATCTTTTTAGACCAATTAGGTGAAATAGGATGATTTTCTACGGCACACCTGACCATCACTCACGGCACACTAGCGTACCGAGGCACGGTGGTTGAAAAACACTGGACTAAACAACCACTAAAGAGGGACCCCTCCCCCTTCGTGGGAGTTTGGATCCCAGGTGGAAGTGTTTAGTCACCGGTGGGGGGCATGAAAACAACCCCCAGGGACCCCACAGGCCTCGGGGAAGCCACAGAGGCAGAAGAAGGCTTAAAGCCAGAGAGGAAAACTCACCCTTGTTGCATTTCTCCTTCTCATTGGGGTAAATCAGCAATTTTCTGGCATGAACCGGGTTCCCAGGGGGGTCGAAGAGACTGTGGCCGTTCCTGAGGTGTGGCAGCGGTCTGCGGGCGGCGTCAGCGTTAGCGGAAATGTGAGTTATGACACACTAAGTAAAGAAAAATGAGACCAGGTGGGGGGGGGGGGGTACCTGTCGTCTGGTTCCAGGAAGCCGTCCAGGGGCAGGACTTGCTGGTTTCCCCGGGTGTCTTTGTGTATTCTCTGAGCCGCCTCCGTGGTCGCCGTGACGACGCAGTCCATGTCGCCTCTCAGGTGCCAGGAGATGACCCGCGCGGCCTCGTCGTCCTCGACAACGGCCAGGTGGGCGACCTGTGTCAGCAAAAAAACGATTAAAAAAACAAAACATTTGCCAAAAACTAAAGTGAAAATGGCCGTTGGCGTTACCGTCCCCAGGACGTCGGGTCCACTGAAGTTATTCGGGATGGAAGACACTCGGGTCTGTTTTTGAAGATTTTCAGCTTGAGTTTTCTTCTCCTCGAGGAGCTTGTCGATATCTGAAGTCTTCAAAGAATGTACAAATGCACAAATTTCTTCTCTACTGAGAAAAATCAAAACAGAGAACGGGTTGGGGAAATAACTTACAGATAAAGGTCCCACAATGTCCATGTTCCTTCTCACTAGCTCTTCTCTCAGGGCGACCTCTTTCTGTTTTGTAGTCGCGACTTGACCTGATGTAATAGACTTATTTTAGAAGGCATACAATATAAAAGACAATTGAAACTAATTAAACACAGGGAGGGAAGTTCAAAGCACACGTGTTAGTTAACCAAGTGGTCCAAATGTAAAGAAAACCGTGTTTTCGGATTTCACGTTACACAGAACGTCTGAAATCTAGGCGGCAGATTGGGTTAAATATTGACAAAATATTTTATTGAGGCAAAATATAAATCTTACGTGTGAACAGCTCAGTAAGAGCCCTACGTGAAATCGTAATTTCCTCATATTGTGCCAGTGTCTTCATGAGCTCATGCTTGTTTTTGTTCAGGCGAGTCACTTTTCCAAGGTTCTCTGCATCTAAAACAGAAAAACAAAACAAAAATTAAACTAGTTTCGCTTTCATTTTGGGATATTTTACAACTTGTTTTGAATCTGACATGTGAATATTACATTGGATAGCTAATAATTTCAACCCCTGCCTCCCGCACCATTAGGACAGCCCCTTATATTGTATTTAACTCATTGACTGCCAGCCATTTTCAGAACAGAGTCCCATACTGCCAGAGTTTTTTGAGCATTTTGACTGATTTTTCAAGAGCCATAGAATCGTTTGTGCTATGACTATGTAAACACCGAACACACCAAAAGAAAGAGTAGACTCTCTTCTTTCATCAGGAAAAAAAATGTGTTTCTACCTTATTCCGTTCTTCCTCGACTTGCGTCTCACCGTCGCCATTTTTCGCATAGCGAACCGTTACGTTTTTCTTATTTGCCTACAGTCTATGCTCATCTCCCATCAAAAGTGGCACTGCCCCCTAGAGGGTCAATTTGTTACTACATACTCTGTCTAGAAGCCTGATATTTACGGACAAGCTTTAGCAGATTGTCCCCCAGCCACTCTCGTTGAAAAACATAAAAGACGTCTATAGACGTCTTTGGCAGCCAATGAGTTAATAGATAAAAAATCAAATAAACCTTATGCTGTACCATTGTAAAAATGGAAGGGCAGCTCATAAGGAGACAGGGAGACCAGGGGCACCTCCGGTTGGAAGAGGAGGACGTACTGGCTGTCGTTCTGACCGGGGCTGTTCTCCATGATGGCCAGGCCCTGAGAATGGAACAACATAATGGTCAGGAGCAGTACTTTCCAAAGATATGTCCCCCGAGTACCGTTACCCACCAGGATGTGGGCTCTTCCCTTGTCCAGGCTGACCCGAACGCGGTCCATCCTCCGCTCGAACAGCGGGACGTCTCTGCCCGGATCGGGGCGCTTTATGCTGACCACAACCGTCCCGGTCAGGTCCTGCACCGCCGGGTTTCCAAACGCATCCTGGAACGATTCAGGGCGACTTCAGAGACGTGTGAGTGAATCACACCGACGGCCGGGGGGAGGAACCCGGCTCTACCTGAACCTGCAGAGCCATGCTCTTGACCAGGGTCCGGCCGGAGGGGTCTCCGCTGTGGGAGACCACGGGCGGGGCCGGCGGGGAGTCGGGGGCCAGCTGGACCGCCCGATTGGCCACGACATCTACACAGATCTGGGAAATGGAGAAGATCGCCTGCTGTTACAGGGACCAACGATTTGATGCTTCGCCTCTCGCTTTCAGAGTTTAAAACGCGTCGTATTATGATCCAGTTAGTTTCCCAAAGAAGTTAATCAAAAAAGTCAAGTGAACCCAGATGTCTGTTTTCAAAACATCACGCCTCTCTTTATTTCCTCCCTTGTGCAACGCTTGTCTTGCTGAAACTGGAAAAATCCCCAATGAACAACTCACTTGTTTTTTTGTTTTTTTTTAGGATGACAGAAACACTCAGATTGTGTTACTGCACTCATTCGCAATACAAATACAATGGCGACGGGTTCCAGTCCAGAAAGTTCTGACCCCTTTAACGCTTTCTCATGCTTTTATTTAGCATGTGAATGAAGTCTTTCAAAAGCAGTAAAGCGTTCCACTGGACAAGCGTTTGGCTAAACCGGCAGGATGGACTTCTGGTATTTTGGGAGGTTTCTCGGGAGGTTTTCTGACCACGTGCAAACGCACCTGTTTGCTGCGCAGGACGTTGGTTTGGTCGACGCTCAACGAGAAGTCTACGACGTACTTTCCAACACGTTCTGGGATTTTTTTGTCTCTGCAGTAAAAAAAGGACACACATGCAGTCTTTGCGGTTCGTAAAGAGGAGTTACAGCACGTGTCGGCTGTCCGGTTTCGATTCGATTACAGATAACGTTCTGGGACTGGTCAGGACCGGTCAGTGGATACCAGATAGGGTCTACGCCCTGTGTTTTGCTGGTGGTCACTTCACGTGTTCAGAAATAACGGGGGGCCTGGTACCTGAAGTAAAAACGGTCCGGCTTGTCGTTTTCCATCGGCTTGCTGCACTTCAGCTCGGACACCTGGACGAGAGATGAGTGCAGATTTAGCCGAGTGGATAGACAATACGAACTTAGAGACGATAGCAAACTAGAAAATCTACATTTAATAAAAACTAACAGCAATTTATGGTTTTGTGGCACCGAAACAGTTTAATCGCAGCCCTTGGAAAACTGATGCTGTAACTGGTATTTCCTCAATATTTTATGCACATCTTGTGTGTTTGTGAGTGTGCGTGAGTGAGTGTGAGGCTATTTTACTGAACCTCAAGGTGAAAGTTTGCTATGAATCTCAATAATCGATAAAGAGAAAATGTGAAAACTTGAGACGGGGTTTAAATTCATATTCAAGGCATTAGTCTTTAGGGTTTTTTTCAATTTCCTTCTCTCTCTTTAGGAAGCCACTCACCGTTTGTGGGGATCCCGATGGCCCCTCCCTCTTCACAAACATGGCCACGGCGGTGGGGCTGAACGTTGTGACCGGGCTCCCTTCGTCCGACACCACCACCAACGAGAAAGCTGGACACACACACAGAGCCGGCGTCGGTTGGCCGGACGAAAAACGTAATCCTAAAACGCAGGCACGTGCAGAGGGAGATGAGCATAAACTGTAGGCAAATAAGAAAAACGTAATGGTTCGCTATGCGAAAAATGGCGCCGGTGAGACGCAAGTCCAGGAAGAGCGGAATAAGGTAGAAACACATTTTTTTTCCTGATGAAAGAAGAGAGTCTACTCTTTCTTTTGGTGTGTTCGGTGTTTACATAGTCATAGCACAAACTATTCTGTGGCTCTTGAAAAATCAGTCAAAATGCTCAAAAAACTCTGGCAGTATGGGACTCTGTTCTGAAAATGGCTGGCAGTCAATGAGTTAAAAGTGGCTCGGAGCCTTTTCTTTTATTTCACCTGCTCAGGCCCACTGATGAGTCGGAGCTGTGCGGGGACTCCGGGGGTCACTCTGAGGCTGGAGGTCCCCTCATAGCGGCCGCAGCGGAAGCTCAGGTCTCTGGCCCCCGGAGGCCCCGAGTCGAAGCGCAATCCTGCCACCCGAACAGAGCCGCCGCTCTGGAAAAAAAAAGGGAGGGGGGCACGCGTTCAGGCCCGTTTGGTCAGAAGAGAGGTCCGGTCAGTTCGCTATAAACGTATATGTCTAGTCTTTTTGGATAAGAATGAACATTTTCAGCGGAAATTTCCTCATTCAGTTCAAACAGTCCAACAAGTAAACTCCAGTTTGACCTCGTTTCTGAAATTCCCAGAAACTTCGAGACAAAACAGGTCAACAGTTTTCTCGTTGATGTAAACAACTAAACCATTGATTTAAATAAGGATTTGAAAACAATCGTGTTCCCTTTCCATATTAAATAGGACAGGGATGTGGGAGAAAAATCACGAAGAAGCTTTAATAGTTGGAGTCGGCTGTTTTAAGGCCTTCGTTTGCCTGTGTTCTAATAAATATGCCCGGGTTCGACCTATTTAAAAGCCCGGGCAGTCTGCAAAATCTGTCCGCACCCGAATAAGTCAGAGCCTCAAACAACTCAAAAATGAGTCCCTCGATGCTTTCACAGTTTAAAAACTGGGCCCCTTTCTGATATTCTCAAAACAGATCTGGCAGAATACAAACTTTAAAAAAAAAGTCGGGGATGGATTCGCATGGTAATCCTTTACCCCGATGCTGTCCTGGAGCTTTGCACTTTGTGGATCTGCTGCAGTAAAACAGTAAAAAGATGAGCAAAACCACACCTTCGTGTCTTTAAGGACTTAAGGCCTTCTCCCTGTGGAATTCAGCTGAACCCATCCTGTGGCATCCAGAAAATTCCATCTATCACTTTTCGCTTTTTTTTTTTTTTTTTCAAATTATTTTTATTGAAACAAATGATAAGATAATACCAATAACGGCTTCCTATTCACTTTTTTTTTTCCTTTT